TATAACTGTACTACAGCAATCACTATGTCTGGAAAGCACACAATAAGTCTTCCGCTCGCTGACTTCTTCGTTATCGCACACTCGCAGGCTGCTATGTTTCAACTGATGATCACACTGCTGTGGGTCCGCTTATATAGCCTTGCGCTGTTGCTAGTGTGACGTGGCGGATAGCATAGGACGCTGTTGCTAGCGTGACGTCACCGCTGTTGATTAGCATTGCGTAGTTGCCAGGTTACGGCGCTCGGCTCTCTTCGGCTCCGCTCGTGACGTCACCGCGCGTTGCGCATTGCGGGGTGATTACTCGCGTATTATGCGAGCGCTCAGTTACCGCTGAGTGGTGGGAGGGGAGCGCTGACTCACCCGCCGCGTCACTGCTGGTATGGGGGGGGGCTCGGATTTCGCAACATGTCACAATATATTAATTTGGCACTCATGATTCATGATGGGTAGTCTTTAATTCTTAAAATGGAGTGACTCATCTTCTGTTTGGGGAAATGTGATGCTGATCCCTTCTGACATCTAAGCATGGCATGCAGAGTGAGAGCAGTTATCAGAAGATTGTCAGAGTTTTAAACTGACAAATGAATATCAAAATTGAGAATTTTTTTTTTTTCATTTCAGTCTCAAAAATTGGAGACTTCACACATATGTATTGCATAATGATTTTGTGGCTCCCCTCTTTTGAAACTGAGTTCTGTTATCCATTCATTTCTAATGCACAGACAAATCTTTTTTTCCAGACATTCCAATTGCAAATGCTTTCTCCGTCAGGTACTGTGATAGCACCTGCTGATCAGGTGACACAAGTTCTAAGGATCACAAACCCCAACAAGGTATGTACTGCTTTGCATAGACAAAATTTATGGTATTTTCTACTTGCTTGCACTGTTTACTATTCTAGCAGACTACGCAGCAATACGTCCTAGCAGAGTATCCTTTAGCTGTAATTTTCACTGATGTTTCTAATCTCATGCTCTTACATTGGGAAGAACTGAAGATTGTAGCCCGTTCACTCTCACAAAAAACATTACTTACTTACTTACTCATGGAGCTGAGCCCTTCTTGAGGAGTCGCCAATTCTGCAACTACTCAAGAATTTCCCAGCATTTTATGGAACCCAAAGGTTCATCACCGTGTTCACAAGAGCCCTCCACTGGTCCCTATTCTGAGCCAGATTTATCCAATCCCATCCCATCCTATCTCTCTTAAGATCCATTCTAATATATTATCCACCCACCTACGCCTTGGTCTTCCCTGTGGTCTCTTTCCTTCTGGCTTTCCCACCAATATCCTATACGCATTCCTCGTCTCCACCCATTCATGCTACATGACCTGCCCACCTCATCCTCCTTGCATTACCAAAATATTCTATTTCAGCGTCCTGTTGCATTTTAATGTTAATATTATTTTAAATTGAGGAGTAATAGTAAACAAAGTTTCATTAAAGATGGAAGTGAGTGTGTAAAGTGATGTTATTCTCCCATCTATGCCTAGATCTCCCAAGTGGTCTGTTGCCTTCAAATTTTCCAACTAGATTTTTGTATACGATTCTCATCATACAATTTTGTAAACAGTAAAATCCCCATATAAGATTTTATTGCAAGGTCAATGGATTCAAATGCTTTACTAATGTCAGCACATTGAAAATGTAAGTGTAATGATCTGTTGTGCTTACAGACAGCCCTTCGTATGCGTATTCGAGTCTCGTACAGTGCAGGAGGCACAACACTACAAGACCAAGCAGAGGTGAATAATTTTCCACCAGAGAGTTGGCAGTGACCTTATGCTGCATGAGGAGCATGTTGGCATTAGTCATGGCAATTGCTACTGTTCTTCAGGCAATAGGAAGGCAAATAAGTGCCATCTTGGCATAATAATGGTCAGTCTGATCGCTGGGCAGCTCCATGGAGGCAGAGTGTACTTAATCACATTCAGTTTGTGATGACACAGGAATTCGAGCTTTTCCAGCTCTTGTGGTGCGAGTATCATTACACAGGTGTCTAGTTAAGGCTCGAAGCAAGAGACTATCAGGTAATGAGCCCATGACCAATGAAATTAAAGGGCTCAATTGCAATGGGTAGGGGGTCATATGAAGGTTCTGCTTTCTCACAAATTTGGAGGAATGTTATGCCTATGTATTGCTTTTTAATGCTGTTTTGTGCAAAGTGCTTTCAACATGTGCTGCACCATTTTCTTAATATGCTCTAGTGTACATAATATTGACGTTGAATATCCTTATGAACCCATAATAATTTATGAAGTTCTGAATTTATCAGATACCAAATATAGGAAGGATTAGCAGTCAGATAATAATTTTCTTTGCAGTTGATTTGTCTGGTATGTGAGAACAAATGAATCAGCAGAATGAGGACTTTGTCTGCAGTCATTAATGTATTTTATTCATTCATATTTGTAGTTATTACTGTGAAGTAATCAGTTTGTTCGTAAGTGATGCTGTGATAATGTGTAGACGGGATGTAGTGAAGAAGTTACAGTACATACATACACTTACACATGGCAGAAAATAAGACTTTCTTTTTCTGACAAATATTCTTATAGCCCTGTTTGTTTTTCCAATTTATCTTTGACCTGTGTAAGATTTGAGGCTTTCACGGCGGTGACTATGAAGAAAGCAGTCTTCTGGGATTTGGCACCGTGTATAAGTGGTGTTAACNTGTTTCTTTTCTGAGCATGAAGATTAATGTGGAAGGAGTCTTTATGCTCTTGAATGGGAATTTTGATAGTTACATTTTAAACAAGACACATATTTACTTATGATAAATGTACATTTCTATATGTAATAGTGAACTTGGTAGGTGGCAGGAGGAGGAGTCATAAAGCATTGCATAATGAGATAGACTGATTTGTCAGAAGTAAATATTTTAAGGTGAATATGATGTAATTGAGGAAGTACAAGTACTTATAAAACAGTTGTGCTATAAAACTGATATCCCCGTATCTGTTTGGCTTAGCGCAGGGCTAGAGCTGTAGTGACATCCTGCCTCAGTACTTCTGTGGGAACTTTTATTGTTTAGTGCCAGATAAAATTGTATGCACAAACTGAATGTAACTTGTGTTGTGTAAGGATTTAATGATACTCGCATCACTGTTGCAGTATTAGAATGGTACTCTGTCCAGGATGGCAGAGGATACAATGCTCTGCTATGTTCCTACTTGAGTTCAGTCTTGACTGTATGGTATTTTGTGCAAGAATGGATGGAGGGCTCTGCTGCTGCTGCCAATAATCATGTGTAATGTCAATTTTATCAACCCAAGTTACAATGAAGAAGTCCACATTTATGTTAGTGCTGTTAATGTGTGTACATATATATATATATATAGTAGTGTGATAACCCAGCCATGCTCACATCCTGTGGAATATTGAAAGACTTGAAAAAAGATATATATCATATCTTTGCTAGGAAATCACATTGATTGGTGGAGGGTTCATAAAATAGAATTTAATTCAGTATCTATCCCTTCAACCTGCTGTTTTTTTTTTTAACTTGAGTGTTTTGTATATATCTGATAATTAATTTCCCCATCTACTTGAGGGTGGTTACAGTTTGTTTTGCTATAGATAAAAGATGAATGCAAATTGAGAAAAGTGTTGATGGGCAAGTGAAATATATTATCTAAAGAAACTGCTGTGTCTCATGCGCATATGCATGTTGTAAAGATTTGTGTACACTTACATATTGCTCCCTTTTCTTGATTTAGGCAAGGCATGTCTCTCACTTGTCTGTACAAGAAATCTTCTTGCTAACTTTCTATCTTATTCATACATGGCTGTGTTCCAGACATTGGGAGACAAGTCATGCAAAAAACTTCATGAAGTATGTGAACATGAATTTTAGAATTCCCTCCAATTTGAACTGTTTGCAGTGAAAGTCTGGAGTTTTATTGTCTAATACTGGATGCTATGTATAAAGTGTTACAAGACCCAAACCTTGCAAAGATAAATATTGTTTCTATTTCCATTTTGTATCATCATGTACATAGTTATAAAGGAAGTTCAAAGCAATGCTGAAAAACAATTTGATTATTAAAAAAAAAAATAGAACCCTGCTTCACAAGGAGCAAGACAGACTGAGGAAATAGAATGGCCATACTTTTTAAGTTTGCACTTGTGCTGTAATGGATTTTAAATCTGAAAGTATAAAGTAAAGTTGTCCCTGTGCTTAATTATTCAAGCATTATGCTGTGAAAATGTATGGGGGAGTGGATGTATAGATTCATATATTCTTGACCTGAGCACTAGCTGGAGGTGGGTGGTCAGCTTCATGCCGTGGCCACTTTACATCCAGGGAAGGAGCCCCTGATACTTATTGTATAGGAGTGTTGGTGGGCCCCAGAGCCGGTCTGGTGGACTTGGAGAGGAGAAAAATCTTGCCTCTACCAGGACTTGAACTCTGACCCATCAGCCATCCCTCACTTTAAATTCTGTTTGTCTTTTGAAAGTTAAATATGAGAAATTTGCACTTAGTAATGTAAATTGCTGAGTGTTTTTCAACTTTATTAGAGTGCATCATTTTGCACGATATTCAGTACAAGTGATAAGACTCAAAACTGATGGGTGTGTATATTATTCAGTTAATTGTAGCAACTGGAGGCCTGCCAGTGAGACATTGAATTTATTGTTGGGCAGCCTTCTAGTTTTATAATGATCTTTGTGTATTAAAAGAACTTGTTGGCCAGTTTGGAATCATATGTATGACAGTTTAAGTTTGAAACTTGAGTGTTGACACTTCTATAATGTAATGTCCCGCACCCCTATCATGAGGTCCAGAATTATAGAGAATTTTATTGTTAAATTAACGCTGATGTCCTACTTCTGCCCCTTGCAATTGAAATAATTCATTAACAAGCCATATAAGTACAGCGAAGCAAGAAATATATTATTTGAATGATAAAATTGAGAATTATTTTGGATCTTTTATATATTTTTAATATGCTATATTAGAATCTGTTGGGGAACAAGTTGCAGTTTTGAAGAATATGACTGCCTATTTCTTCTTTGAAGAAATTTGGTTAGATGTAGTCAGGCTGAAGGGAAACCGAATGAACTGTGTAGAATGTTGTGATAGGCATTTGATTTTAGCCCATTATTATTATTATTATTATTGGAGGGGGTGAGTTTCCCCATGCACCGCGACCAGTTTGATCTGTTGTATGTCCCCCTGTGATATTCTACCAGTCTCTATACCCTACCAGTACTGGTGCGTGCCATCAGTCCCGACTCAGCCAGCGAGTTCGGCCTCTACTGGCTCAGCGGTATCTAGATGCCTCCCCCATCTACCAGAGGCGTTAGAGACTATTGTTGGGCGGGAAATGTCGTTACAAATTTGGCTCAGAGGTCTCCTTGAGACATGAGGTTCTTTTACGTGCCGTAAAGCTACAACACGGGACCCACGGCTTAAAGTCCCTCCCGGAGGACTTGTTCCCTGAATTTTTCCGCCCTTAAAAATTCCATGACCTCCGCCGGGTTTGAACCCACGTACCTTGAGTCATGAGGTGGGAACGTTACCCCTAGACTATGGAGGCCGCTATTTTAGCCCATTAGTGACATGATAGTTGAGCAACACTACAGGTGTGCAATCATTTCCAGCAGAGAGAGGTTTGTTGTTAATTATCTAGTGAGGTGACTGGAATTCATTGAACTGAAGTGTAGAAAGAGAGCTGTAAACTGCATGACATCTGTTTGGGAAGGAACTGTACTAGTTTGTGTTGCCATGGACAGTAAGCGGGAAGCAAGGCAGTTCTCACCTGTGTCAGTATAAGAATCTGCTCTTTTGAAACAAAAGTTTTTGAACTCTGCCAGATGTTTAAATGAAGTGAGGCTTTGTTATACCTGCTTCAGGTGGCAAATGGCTGTCTTTGAAACAGAGTTCTTGAATTCTAGCTAATGAGTGAAGTGAGTCTTCTTTTCACATGCCTCAAGTGACAAGTATCTGAATTTGTGAAACAAGGGTTCTTGAATTCTGCCAAATGTTAACTGAAATGAAGTTTCTTTTTGCCTGTGTCAGGTGACAGGCATGTCTTTATGAAACAGAAGTTCATAAATTGTGTTAGATGTTAACTGAAGAGAGGTTTCACCTGCCTCAAATGGCAAGTGTCTGTCTTTATGAAACAACAGCTCATGAATTCTGTTAGATATTAACTGAAGTGTCTTCTTGTGGGGTTCAGGTGACAGGTGTCTGCCTTTGTGAAACATAACATTCTTGAATTCTCCTAGATGTTAACTGAAGTGTCTTTCCTTTGTCTGCTTCAGGTTGCAGATGTTTGTCTTTATGGAATGATAGTTTTTAAATGGCATTGGAGTCTCCATGCTGATAAGTGCTCCCTTTCTGCATAGTCTCTTTCAAAACAAATGTAATCAGAACTGCCTGTGTCAAGGTGATAGTGACAAATGAAGTTATAGTGTTATTTTGTTATATGTGATTGTTGGGAGACCGCCTCTGTGGTCTAGTGGTCAGGGTTCGATTCCTGGCACTACCAGATTCTTTCTGAAATGGGGTCCACTCAGCCTTGTGATGATAATTGAGGAGCTATTTGAAGGCTCTGGTCTATAAAACCGAAATTAATGGCCATGGGGATTTGTTGCACTGACCAAGGTACACCCTCTATCCTCAAAAGTTGGCACTAACTTCGCCAAGCAGTGGTCACTCGGTCGGTATAGTTCATTTGCAGACTAAAATCACGGAGTTTGTTTTGTTTGTGACTGTTGGGAGCTGAAGCTCCAGTAGTTGAAATCTGCTGAACAAGACATAATTCACTGCCTGTTCCTGTATCACTTGGTTCTGCAGTCTCACATGTAACACTAATGTTCTGTAAAACATACTAAAAGATGTTCACTTTAAAAGTTTTACACTACATGTTTCAAACAATATTGTCATCATCAGATGTTAAAAATTATGGACTGGGAAACTGCTGTCTTGTTTGTTGTTGTTGTTGTTGTTGTTGTTGAGGTTGTTAATATATACTTCCCTCAGTGTGCATGTGTGTTCTACATGGTGGGTTATATTCCTTCCTGTTGTGTGTTACACTGCATGTATACCAAGTTCAGAATGATTGAGATAGGAATTTTAATGAAATTGTAACAGTTCTGTCATTTGATTTATTATTATTATTCCATAAAAAATCAGTTTGAATGTAGGCTTGTAATTGGATGCTGTAAAGCAGGGATGGTGAAGCATTGGCATCAGTGCAAGATGTGACATTGAGATTTTGGCTGGCACTGGTCAATACAGGATCTGACTGTGTTAGAATCTGTGTCATTTTGATAATCATGGAAACAAGACATGCAGTGTTAACACACAACAGGAATTAATACAACCTACCACCTAGAACACACATGTGCATTGAGGGAACTGTATATTAATAAACAGAGCAACGATACAGAAGGCAGCAGTTTCCTTGTCCATGCCTTTTAACATCTGATGATAACCACATTGGTCGAAACATTTAGTGATGAACTTTAAAGTGAATAAGTTTTATAGAACATTAATGTTGCATGTGAGACTGTAGAACTAGTTGATACTAAGTGAAAGGCCAAACAGGATGCTACAATATAATATTATAGCCTGTCCCTGTCTTTTCACAGTTACATAAATATCATTAATAAAAATATACTGGCAACCCTTTACCTTGCCAGTAATGCTTAC